ACAAGGTGTCTAGTTTTTGCATTTTAAGTAAGTGAGATCGTTTTTAGAAGTCTTCAATTTTTTAAGATCTCATGGGGTAGAAATAAAATTATTGGCCATGTTGATGTTACTGTATTAGGGTTTTCAGATAGTTTTAAAGAGTGGAAAATAGTCCTTTAGTAGATGTTTGATGAGAATTGGAAATTTTCCTTAATGAAAATTACCTTTTCTAGTTATACAGTCTGAGAACCAACATCATGTAGCCTAATCATTTATAGCACAGGTGCAAATAGCATTCATGTGTGGTTAGATTGGAATTTTGTTTTTCATCATTGGTGGTGATTTTTCCTTGCTGTAATGCTTGTAGGAGTTTAAGCATTATGTTTGGTCATTTTACTGTTTAGTACCATCTACTTTCCACATAAAAGTTTAGAGGAGTCTAGGCATATTTAAAAAAAAAAATCTAAGTGTCTCTAGGGGAAGTGAATCCTTAAAAAATTAAGATAATGTCTATCTTAAATGTGTCATTATCTTTAAAACATGTATTTATCTCCAAATCAGTTATTAGATAGACTAGGTATTAGACTAGGTATTCAAACTTTATGAGAGAATAATCTGACTGCTTACCAAGGTCAAATAACCAAGCCTGACAGAATCAACATAAAAAATTTTCCTTCTATTTCACATTTAGGCATCTGGTTAGATTTTCAGCAGCATGCAGTTGGTTCTTGTCTATATCAAGATGACAAAATTAGGTGTTGCAAGGACAGAAAAACAGGTAGTTAGGTACAGATAGATTTAGTTTAAATGGGTACTTTCAAGCACTATGAGACTGCTCTGGTTTATTCTCTAGTTTGTTTCGTGTACTACAATTCAGCTTTAAATACTGTGCTGCATTCAGTTTTTGTCATAAAAACCTCAAATGTGCTAGAGAAAATAAGCTAAGACAAATTTATATTTTGCTTTGTCTTCTGACTTAACATTTCAGGATAGGACTTGACTTATATTCAGGCTTAGGATGCCAGAAAAATAAATAATGCACACTACTTGGGCTTATCTTCAGTATCATCATTTTGTTATTGCCAGTTAGTTGTATTTTAGTGATGACCAGAGGCTTCTAAATAGGACAGTAACCTCTGTAATACCTATTTCCAAATGGTGACTCTCTGTTCAGCCCATCACAACAGTTTTAAAACTGGTTTTTGTTTTTGTTTTGTTTTGTTGCTTTGTTTTGTTTTTTAACAGGAGAGCCAGTGTAACTCCTTCAAGACTGGAGTGATACACACTGCATCTGCATCTGCCTCATGTGAGTTCTCATTTTGGCAGCAGCACTCTCTAGGCTGGAACCTCTGTAGAGGTTTGCCCTTTCTTTTTCTAAAATCTGTAAACTACTATACAGTGTCTTGGTGGCAAAGGTAAAAAGTGCATGAGACTTCCACATTTTCCTGCAGAAAGTTTTCTACTCATTCCGAAGGACTGTTGCCTCTAATAGGTTCTAGCTCATATGCATAGCTCTACTCAGAGCCCACAGCCTTCACCCCCACATAGGCAGTTGATACTTTTTGAAGATATATTCTCCCCCTCCCCCTAGATTATGGAATAAAGAATATCTTTAAATGCTCTCCGTAGCTTCAGCTTTCAAAGCTTTGCTTGTTCTCTTTATAGTCTACTTACGTAACCTGAGAACATTGTGTGCTGCCCTAGTGGCTGAGCTGTCCTCTCTTTTGGACTCTGGCCCTTAAAATAACTTCTTCTTTTGTCTTTGAATATTGGGTAAATTAGGATAGACCTGAGGGCTTTCTCAAAGAAGGGATAAGCAGTGAATGTGTGAAATTGTTTATTCTGAAGCTGTTGGCAGTGTTTTGGAAAGTCAGTACAAACTGAGCTTGAAGCTATGCATCATTTACTTGCCAGTTTTGCAAAGTGAAATTACAACCTTTGCAGCTGTGGAGCTCTACAGTCTAGGTGGTATATATGCTTTGCCACAGATGCCAAGGCTGACTTTGAAGGACCTGGTTGATTAAAAAAGGAATTTTGCTCTGTGTGTGTGTGTGTATTTTTAAAGGAATGGTAGTACTTAGTAGGCATTAGGAACTTCTGCCATTGGGTCAGAAAAAAATTGTGATTATTCCCAAGAGAAACTTGGAATTAAAGCATCTAAACTTGCATTCTCTGTAGCTGCAATTCTGCTTCTCCAGTGCTGGTTGTACTCTATAAATTCTGTAGCAGATGATTTAATGACCTGGGAGTTTGTGTTACTGAAATGATTATCCGGGACACTTGTGAGAAAATGTCAATAGCTTGTAGGTCTTGTTGATTAATAAGAGTTTAATGAAATAGTGTTGTCAAAGTGGAACTTGGACTCTCTTTACTAAATCCATTCCCACCTCTGACTAGAGCAGTTTATTTTAGACTAGATGAAAGAAATTGGAGGGAGAGAAGTGTGTTTCACCACCAAGCTTAAGTTTGATGGCCTCCGTAATCTAGAAATTAATTTTTAACAGTGGTAGAAAACCTTGCCATAGAGAACTTTGGATGAGGCTCATGGCGATAGGAATTCTGGCTTTAGCTGATGTTTGTATTTGCTACTTAACTTCAAGTCAGCAAATGGGGGAAAATACCTTAAGTCTTTTGGAAGTCACCTAAACTGATTGAGAGCAAGGAAATTTAAAGTATTTCTGCAGGTGGAATTTCTAGAAAGTCACCTTAGTTGAATACTTAGCACATTCTGCCATGGAGTAAACACAGTGTGGCAAGTGTATGGTGTTTTATTTTCTGTTACTCTAGGTTTGTGTTGGCAAAACAGGAATTTGCAATCTCCCCCAACATATTTTTTTCACTAATAGTTTTGAATATATTGAATTGGGGTTTAATCCAAATTGTCTCTCAGACATAGGTTTTTAATCACCCTTTACCCAATTACTCTATAATTGTTTAATTCACTAATTAGGGAAAATTGCTGATATAGGGGATGAGTCTAGGTAGGGGCAACTAAGGTTTGGTTTTTGTCTCCCATTCTTAAAACAGCAAATTATTCTTCTGAAAAATTAATAATTAAAAACATCTTATATGGGACAATTCCTATAAGAATGAATGCCAGTGAATTTATTTAAATTACTTAATTTTTTGTTTTATTAAATATTGCTTTGAAATAAGTGGGACTTTGTTAGGATTGAGAAGCAATTTTTGTTTTATGGAAATTTATTAAAATGAGATTTACTTTTTATTGGAATGGAAGCATGGGGTGGGGTGAGAGATGTCAATTTGAATTCTTTTGCGGATATAAAATAACATTAGTAGATATCATGCTTTCCTGGTTTTATGATAATACACCAGCTCTTAATGTTTATAAATATAGAGCACTTCCTTTGCCATAGTGTATATCATTTAGATTTTAAAATTTCACAAGAATTTAAAAAAGTGTTATCAGGGAGAGGGGGTGAAGATGGGGCTAAAATTGAGTGAAGGAAAAAAATACAGCTAATTTTGAAAATTATTAGCTAGGGTTAGCATTAACATTAAATTGATATTAACCGTACAGCAACAAAAGAAATGACAGCTTTTGGCATCATTCTGATGAAATGAGACTCAGACATCTCCTAAAGAATCTTAAATATTTCACTCTTGTTTTTTAAATATGACAAATGTTTATTAAAACGATTTTGAAAATGCAACTTTTTAAAATTTTCAGTTTAATTAAAAAGAATAGATACATTAATATGTTACAGGTACATAAGAAAACAGAAGAAGGTACATGAAAGTCTCCCCTGTCTCTTAGCTACTCAGTTCTTTTCTGTTGGTGGCAACCAGTATTACTGGTTTATTTTATGTATTTCCAGAAATATTCTAAAAGATTGCTTCTGGAAAGGGAAAGTTGAATTACACTCATTAACATATCAGCCCTAACTTGGATAGGTAGACTAACTGCAAAGAAACAATTTGAGCCAAAGGCTCTTGTTAATTGTAAATAGAAGAGCAGTAATAATAATTGTTGTATTATTATGAGACTATAATAATAGAGTGGATATTTTGGGGCCTCGTTTGGCATTTAGCAAGATTTTAGGTCTTTTTATTTTTAATATGGCTTGCTTACATCTGGACACTGATGGAAGGATGCTAACGTAATATTTAATTTGGAAGAAACCTATTTAATGGAACAACATTTTCTTTATGGTGAACTGCAATAATTTTAAAGGGTTTTTTAATCATAGAAAATTTCAGATATATATATAGTAGTAGAGAAAACATCCCGTATTCCAAAACCCATTTTATTTTACCTGTAACAAACTCAGTATGCTACTTTGGGAGTTAAGGAGATTTTATTATACATATACTACACATACCCATCCTTCTATAATAACACCTAATAAAATGAGTCATAATTCTTTAATATCTAATTCCCAGTTAACATCCAGATTTCCTTAATTGTGTCAGGCATGTCTTTTTATGGTTGATTTTGCAGTAATAACTTGTACAATATTGATGGTTATAATATTATTAGAATTGATAAGAAAACAGCTTAATCCTGGCAAGTGGAATTATTCTTGTTGGAGAGTGAATATAAAGCAACTAAAAATTCCAAAAATAGACTAGTTTTTTTTAACAGCTCTCATTTTGAAGTATTCCTACCCAAGTTACACACATCAGTGAAGCTTTCAACATGTATTGACCTCTCTCATGGTTAATATCACAGTTGTTGCATATTAGTTTTAGATTACAATAATGAAACCTCAAAGGGGGCTGGGGGAGAATGGTTGCATTAGGCTTCCGAAGAATGAACTATTCTGAAATGCCTCATAATTCATCTTGTCACTGCTGCTCCTGCTATATAATACCACCTATTTTCACAGACTAACAATTGAGTTCCGTGATTACTCAGGTCAGTAAGAACATGGAGTTTGAGGGAAAAGAAGAAAAATGTTAGATTTAGGAGGAGAAAGGGATTGGGAGAGTAGAAATTCACTCATGTGCCTTCTGTTTTAATTGGCTGTTGTTCTAATGAAAACTTCCTCTTTGTGCAGTGTACAAGTCCCCGGAGTATGAATCCCTTGGTTTTGAACTTACTGTGGAGAGATTAGTTTCTATTGGCTATCCCCAGGAGCTACTGAGCTTTGCTTATGATTCTACATTCCCTACCAGGTAATTCCCCAAGATTTCTTTGGATTAAGATATCGCCCTCTGTCTCCAAAATTAGTAATTCTAAATTCACCTCTGATCAAATGTAAAAAAAGATAAGTTTTTGTTTGATGTTGATTCTAAAATTGTTTGATGTTGATTCTAAAATTACATAAAAATGAAGTTTTTTTATGTTCTTGAATTGAACTTAGTTTATATTGTTATTGAAGAAGACCCATTAATGGGAAAGAAAAGGGATTATTAAAACTAACAGGCAGTAATTACAGATGCTTCTACCTTTGATTAATGGAGAGCAGTTACATGTTTTGCTCATGTATTTAAGATGGTAATCCAAAGCCTTGGCAGTGGCATCTGAATTTGATAAGATTAAGAAAGATGTTTATTTAATACTTATTTGAGTTACTATCATATATATTACATATACAACATCTAATGGGGGAAACATGAATCATCACTGTTGTCCAAAAAGGACCCTGTTTTAGAATGGAGCCAGCGAGAAGTTATAATTTACACCTTTTTGATTAAGCACATGTTGCTTACAGAAAATGGTGGTGATGCTTTATCTGAACAGAGTAAATATTTTTCAGCTGCTTTGAGATTAATTTTTAAGATTCTATTCACTCAGTTAGGCTCTTAAGTTTATATTGTTTTGGGAAATAATGCAGTTGCCATCATACTTGAAAAGATGAGTTTGGATTTTGGCGATTGAGTTATACTATACAAGACTAGAGAGAAACCTGGCACATGTTATGGATTTGGTTCCAGACCACCACAGTAAAGCAAATATCACAGTGAGCTGAATTACACAGATTTTTTTTTTGTTTTCCAGTGCATATTAAATTTATACTGTTCTATTAAGTGTCAATAATGGCATTATATGTAAAAATCTCCATACATATCTAAATTAAATGTGACACATGAAATGAGCACATGCTTTTGGAAAAGTAGTGCCAATAGACTTTCATTGCAGGTTTGCCATAAACTTTCATTTTATAAAAAATGCAGTATCTCTGAAGTAGGCAATAAAATGAGGTATGCCTATATATTACCTCTGTTACTTTGCATTATTGATAATGTTTTAATTTTTACACAGGGGACTTGTCTTTGACACACTATATGGAAATCTTTTGAAAGTTGATGCCTATGGAAATCTCTTGGTCTGTGCACATGGATTTAACTTCATAAGGGGGTGAGTACAAAGAAACTTTAGCCTCTTTCTAGAGTTTTTATAGTCAAAGAATATAAAGATGACATTGTCTCCCCAGATCTAATATCCTTTACTCTTCCCTCATCACTAAAGATTAATTCCTTTATTTAAGGATACTTAACAATTATTAGGTGTTTAGGACTCAAACTGACCTATATAGTTAGCAGTTAATAATATAACTTTAAGTGACTTCTAATTATGTATCATCCAAAAAGCTAATCTTGAATTTGCCCCTCCCCCTCCCCCCAAAAAACTATAGTGGCTTTGATTTATTTGAAATTCTAAGATTTTTATTTTCTCCTTTTTAATACAGTTCTCAGGTAGCTGCTCAGAAGAGGTATGTACATAAAAGTCATTTGAAAAATTTAAATTATGGCACTGTAAATACTAAAAAGTTTTAACAAATAGTATATTTTTATATTCTAGTGAATAGCTTCAGATATTTGATCATGTGGTTAAAATTTTTGAAAACATGGGATTACAAATGAGGGTGATAACATTTAAAATAAATAAGGATAAGCTTTATTTTCATAATCAGAATATTCCACTATTATTATTAGTGTGGATTTTCCACCCTAGTAATTAAAACAATAAATAAAATTTAGTGTTTATGAATGTTATGTGAAACATCCCAGTTTTTTAAAACTCACAATACAACAAGTTAGCAGTTTCTATATTTGTGGCTTTATAGTTATAATTTTCTCTCCTTTTTACTACCTGGTTTATTGCTGATACTGTATTAGGGTCAGAGCAACTCCTAAAACCAAAATATATGTTAGTCTCTTGTGTAACTTTTTGATGCGGTATTCTCTGTGGCAAAGTAGTAAAAACCACAGTTGATACTGCAGTTATTAAAGAAACAATGTCTTTTTTGGTAAATTCCCTTTTATGATAAGAGGCACAAACTGAAACTTTACCAGGAATCCTTTTAAGTGTTAGATCACAGCAGTGCCCTATTTGGAGTTGAAGCGTCCGATACAAACTCTTCCGTTGGTATTACATAGGCTTCAAGATGCCCAGGTATATATAGTGAGAATAGTGTGAACTAAATACCGTAGCACATCTGGCAGGCCAGTGGTTGGTTATATATGTACCTTTCATTTATTATTCTCTAATGAGGTGCTTGTTCAAAATCTGTGAATATCAGGAGGCGGGATTTAGATCATGAAGTGATTGCAGATACTAGTATTCTAACCTATTTCATATGTGGCTATTGTCACTATAATTCTAAATTACATATAGAGACAAGTATATTGTCGCTATAATTTAGAATCCCGATGAAGGTGAACCCAGATTCTATTTTATTAATAACTGAAAAGGGTTTTTATGTTTGGGGGGCAGTGGGAGTCAGAAAAGAATTGATGAGTAAATGCAGAATTATTCAAACTATTTCTTAGTAGCTTTTAAATATTACTACTAATAATATTAGTAGTAATTAATAATTCAGATTTATTAGTAAATAAAGCCTTTAGAGTCAGAAGTAAAAAGCCATGGAGAAAGAGACTGAGGATGGAGGGAAAGGGAGAAAGATAGTTATGGAAGTATAGTTAGGGACAAAGCGAGGAGGGAAGTTAGAGCTTTATCAGGTATCACCTTACATGCCTTGCCAATGAATTGAGACATTTTTTGGACAATTGCAAAGACTTTTCAAAGTTTTAGAATAGGTAATATGAGTTCAGATGTCTGTTCTATAAGTCACAAAAAGTTAGTATAATCCATACTATCATAACAGTATTTGTCCTAACTTCAAGTCTAGCACTCTTTTATGTTATATTACCTCCCCCTGAATTATGCTAGTGTGATCTGATACAGTTTAAACAAGATAAACTTGATTTTTATATTTATAAATTAGTTTGGGTTCTAATTACCTAATGTTAAGTATCCTTATGTAAAGGAATTGCTCTTTAATAATGAAGGGAATAGGAAAATGTATTATCAGTATAATCTGAGGGCACAGTGCCATCTTAATAAACCTGAGGAAAGCTGTATTACTATTCCCTTTCACCTTAATTTTCAGTATAGAAAATCTTACAAAACTAGATCAACTGTTCTACAGTTTTTCTTCATCAAGAACTCTTATTTCAGAAGGATGACTAAGAACGGGAGCTAAGTGATTTTATATTCCTCAGAGTTTACACCATTTGCATTTAACAAACTCAAGCAGGAATTTATTCAGATTATCAATACTTCAAATATGAACTTTAAATTTGCTGTTCTTTAATTAGCTCAGTTAATCTCTGTATGTTTACACCTGTGAGGGGGTAGGAGGAAGCAAATATTGTTTAAAAATCAATAATAATGTAAAAAATAAAAAATAATAATATAAAAAATCTGTTTGCATGAGAATTACGCATTTTTATATTTTAGTTTTCCTCCCTTTTGATTTCTCTGCAACATTTTTATTAATATATTCCCTTCTTAAAGTGTTTCATTTTACTCTGCAAGGTTTTTATGCATCTCTTAACAACGTATGTCCATTTCCCTATCTTCTTTTAACCCCTAAATGATCTTGATGATGCTACTCTCTGTCTTCCTTCTCTGCTTTCATCTGGTCAGATGGTCTTTATGACTTCATCTTTTACCTGTGTGTAGATGATCCAAATAATCCCTCAAGTCTGAATCTGTTTTTAAGTTCTTGATCTTTGTTTCTAATTGCCTACAGAAATCTGCTTACCTTAAGCTTACTGTATCCAAAGTAAAACTCTTCTTACATATACTTAAACAGTTTTCATATTTCTGTTAATGGTACCACCACCCTTTCAGAGGCACCTTAGTGTGAGTATCATCACTTTTGACTTTGTTGTATCCCATCTGCCACATCCAGTTGTCTGGTCCTGTTCATTTTACCTTGGCAAATTCTTGAATACATTCTTCCCATTCATTTCCATTGCCACTGCTCTAGGACAGGCCCCTACTGCTTGTATCGGAATTACTACAATAAGCATCTGATTTCCCAGTCCTTGTCTCTGTCATTTAGCTTTAAAGCTAAATTTTTATTTAGCTCAAAATTTTGTTAGCTGGGCAATTGTGAGGTTGCTTAGCTGCTCTAGAATGACCTTGCTCTCATGTCTGGCAATTAACAGCCTGCTGGCTGGGACACCTTATTTTGCATGTGGCCTTTTATCCTGGAGCAGGTTATGTCACTCTCATTCATATGTATTCTCATTCACAAGTGCAGCAAGAGTAGACAAGCCTTGGGACACCAAGTGTTTTCCAAGCCTCTGCTTAGATCCCGTTTGTTACTGTTCAAACCTTACTCAAGGATGGAGAAATACACTGCAATTCCTAATTGGAGAAACTACAAAGTGACATTACAAAAGGGAGAGGACAAATTTTGCAATATATCTTTTTGTATATCTGTCTCCATTTTATCCTGTTTCTAAAACTGCTACTCATTTACTGTTTTTACAGTTCAGCTCTGATGCTTTTATCCCTCTGCTGCACTCTGATGGTCTGTCTAGCCTGTAAGGACCAACTCATATGCCACCACTTTCATGAATTCTTCCTAGATTTTCCTCTCCTCACTCTTACAGTCACTTCTCTCCTTTCCTTAAGTTGAAATGTTCTCCCATTCCTGTTTTCTCATAGCTCTTGTATTTATGATTTTTTCTCCTTGTTGTAATTGTCTGTGAATGTGACTCATCTCCCTTACCCTACTGAGAACTTTTTAAGAATTGGAACCTGAACTTGTTCACCCTTCATATTAGCTACCCATGTGTAATATTTGGAGCCCTGCCTTGCACGAGGTCACCAGAATACCCAGATGGATTTTTTTTTGAATGATGACTATTTCTTACACTTATTAAATGTTAAAAATATTTTCTTTCAGACCAGAAACTAGAGAGCAGTATCCAAATAAATTTATCCAACGAGATGACACTGAAAGATTTTACATTCTGAACACACTTTTCAACCTACCAGGTAGACTCATTCTATGCTTATATATACTGATGCTTTCCCTTCTTTCCATGATCATTTGTCTTTACTCAAGGGAGATAATGAAGTAAGTTTAGTTATCTTACTTATGGCTTATGAATACCTATTTTTCATTTTTCAGAGACCTACCTGTTGGCCTGCCTAGTAGATTTTTTTACTAATTGTCGCAGATATACCAGGTATGTATATATACTATAATGTTTTTTTCAATTGATTTTTTAAATTAATGTACAGGGTTTTAGAGAACTGGCCATTGTAGGTCTTTTCTGCTTTTCTGAAGTGAATTTAGTGCTAGTGAGAGATGCCACATTGCCAGCCTGAGAGATGGGACAGCACCAGCAGCTCCATGCAGGCTCTCACCTCCCACTCGGCCCCTCTCCTTGCCAGTGTGCTGCAGCCATGTTTGGAAGGGACCACTTCTGATTGGCTTCTACTGGGAATGAAGACGGCCAGCAGAGGTGCTAATTGTGACAACTGAGTGGGAGGTTTGTGTGATGATTATCTGTCCAAGCAGAATTACACTAAAACCCCCCAACTCATTTCACAGCAGCTACCCAGGAGCCAGTCAGGGATGGTAATTTAGTTTCATTCCCAGGCCCAAGAAGATTTGATTGAAAAGTAAATACTGTTTATCCTCCCTGAAGTCTTAAACAAGTTATCCTCTATTTTTTAGGAGGACTTGTATAACCAACTCTGAAAGTTCAACCATATGTGCCAGAGTTTTCTGATGTCTTATCCTCTTTAGGCCCTATGCACTTCAAAGCACTAAATTTGATGAGGCACCGAGTCACTAAGCTGAATAGAAAATAGGCAGTAACTTTGTACCCAGAGACGATAACACAAAAGTCAGGGTGGAGAGAACCTAAATTACCAATTTTAAGCTTATTTCTTTGACGGGAACTTGTTTCTTAAATGATGAATAAAAGAACCTGATATTGAACTGGCTTTTTAAAGCTTCCATTCAGTATTTCTTCTATCACTTTGTATTTCTTCACAATTACTCTATTCAGTTGAACACTGTAGTCATCTCTGGTGGTCAGAATGGATTTTCATTAGGGAGTACTTATTTCCTAATTAGCTATAGCCTTTATCCATGTGATAATGGAACCTTTGGGTCCCTTGGGCAATTTTTGATGCTCATTTTATTTACTCTTATTTGAATTCCCTGTCATGTTCTTTTCATCTTTCTATAGCTGTGAAACAGGATTTAAAGATGGGGACCTCTTCATGTCTTACCGAAGTATGTTCCAGGATGTCAGAGATGCTGTTGACTGGGTTCATTACAAGGTACCTATGTAGGAGCTGCCATTTTACTTGCTTACTCTCTGGCATGTGTTTTACGGTCTGACATTAGTTTCCTGAGTACAAATAGAGCAGAATTTTTCCTTTGTTAAAAAATTTTTTTTTTGCCTCCTACGGATAGCTCTCTAGAATATTTATGTTCTTGTTTTGACTGTCCTGCTCTCAGAGGTAATGCTGATCTCAGTGGTGGTGCTTGCTTTTAGATCTTATTTCACTTTGCATTTCTTTGCAGACTTACTTTCAGTATTGATTATACTTACATATCGTTTGAGGATCATTATATTCCATTTGTTTTCTTCCAAATACCTTACATTTGACTAATAATAATTTATTTACATTTACTGTAAAATGTACTGAATAAAGTATGGAATGCCTTTTTGATTTATATATTAAAATAGTTTTATATATTGGATACATTTTGGAGCCAAGAGTTGCAACAAATCATACCTGCTACTTTATTCTGACCTTTTCTAGTTTATCTACTATTTTGGTAAACACTTAAGAAATACATTTGGGTTGATGGTACACAAAATTTTTCTTATAAACTATTAACTGATTTTGTTCTTTTTCTGTGTCCCCTTTTTTCTTCCTCTAGGGCTCCCTTAAGGAAAAGACAGTTGAAAATCTTGAGAAGTATGTAGTGAAAGATGTAAGTACTAAAGGGGAAAATAGATCTGCATGATAGCTTATTTTGCTCATCAGGGAAATGAATAAGACTATTTGAAATAAATCAAACAAAAAATTTGTCTTGGTATATGTATCAGGTATAATCACCAAGAATTTTCAGTCACAGGTTAGATCTTACTACAATTTTTCTGTTTGTTGATAGGCAAGGCGACCTAGTATTTCATTTGTTTTTTAATCTCTAACTATAATTGCAGCATCTAAGTGTGTACTGGGTGTACACTGTGCTAAATGATTACATGCATTGCCCATTTAATCTTCCATGTAATCCTGAATTAGAAATTGTTACCTCTGCTTTATAGATGATGAAACTGAGGGATACAGGGATTTAATAATGTGTCAAAATTCATACAGCTAATAAAGCCAAGAGGGCCTCCCCAGTGGCGCAGCAGGTTGAGCGCAGTGCTGTGAAGCTGTCTGCAGCCTTTGCAGCGCCGGTTCAATTCTCGGGCGGCCAGGGAGATTCCCACATGGCGAGTAGACCTCTCCTGTCTTACCCACTGCTCCCCTCAGGAGTGTATTTTGGTCCTTCTGCCTGTTATGCTTCCTGCTCTGTCTCTGGTGAATTCTCTCACCCTCCCGCGCCCCTGGCTTGTACCCCAGCGCTTGTATAAATAAATGAAATAAATCTTTAAAAAAAAATTATAGTAAAGCCAAGAGCCATACTTAAATCTTAACCACAGCAGCAGATCATCTCAAAAATGCCCATCTTTGTGATTTATTTAAACTATCTTTAACCTATCAACATGGAATGATGAAACCTTTAAAATTTCTTTAAAATACATTAGTGGAAAACCTAATAAAATTTTAAAAAATTTGTAGTTTAGTTAATAGTATTGTTCCAATGTTAATTTCTTAATTTTGATAATTGTACTGTGGTTATGTAAGAATGTTAAGGGAAGCTACAGTAAGGATATGGGAACCCTCTACTTTTTCCACAAGTTTGCTGTGAGTCTGAAATTATTTCAAAATAACACACACAGCCCAAAGATGAGCTACCCTTCTTCATTTTCCTATAGAGTAAATGTAGTAGAATGCAGTATTTTCTCAAAAGTGCTTGGTAAAGATTTCTCACTGCTTCAGTTTTTGTATGTCCTGTTTCTCTTCTACTCCTACACTCACCCTGTTGTTAAGGACACTCGGGGGTCCAGGAGAATATGAGTGAAGGAACCTGTTTACCATGAGTTTAGGAAAAGGTATTTTTCTTTGTAGTCAGTCACATTAGGGGTTAGAGTTTTCTCATTTATCTGCAGGTGGATCTGGGCATTTCTGGTTCTCATCCCCCACACACATTTCATTTGTGAGGTGCTTTACAAAATGCAAGTACGCACAAGTGAAGTAAATCTCATACTTTCCATACATTTTGTTTAACTTTTTACATTAAACTATATTACATATATTTGTTTAAAATCAGCATCTCCTGATTTCTAATGCATGTAATTCATATACTTTGAGGTTATAAGATATCTTACGTTATTTCTGAGGCAGACAAAGGAGTCAGACATAATAGAAATAGGTTGTTAGTTAGCATATCATGTATCATCATATATGTATAGCTATAAAATGTACCATGTATATTATGTTAATATTTAATTCTTACATAGTGATAATGAGGTCTTTTAGTGCAAAATTTTTAAACCAACCAGCCTAGTTTACCCACCTACCCTTACATGGCTTCCCTTATTTCAGTGGACAGAAAAATCAAGTATATGACTACTCCACAGTGTAAATGAAAATACATTTGTGTTTTAGTATTTTGCTCATTATCATATTACATTTCAGGGAAAACTACCTTTGCTTCTGAGCCGGATGAAGGAAGTAGGAAAAGTATTTCTTGCCACCAACAGTGACTATAAATATACAGATGTAAGTGCTTAATATTCTTATTGGTTTGTATAGAGGAATTTTTTTGGTGTAAAGAACTGTGAAGATGAGGTGAGGATAGTAATTTATTGAGTAGTTTTTCCCCCATTGTTTTGTTGTTTCAGAGTGAAAAAAACAAAGATACATAGGATTAAGGCTATAACATAGTTCTCAAATATTTCAAAATATTTCTTTTGATTCTTTCCCTGATTACAATTGGCTATTTGAAGGCTTTGATTTTGGGGTTTAAAATACTTGAAATAATTGAAATGGCATGTATATTTCTTTGATGCATTATATATATCAACTTGAGAGTCACATCCTTTATTGCACATGCATATATACCTGTGCAATATATATATACACACACACACATATATACACACACATACACATATATATACACACATACACGTATATATATATATGCATTTGGGAGCTAGAGAGCAATGGATGGTGCAAAGATGTTTTGATTTTAATTATCAAAATTTACCTCTTAAAATTTTTTTTGCAATGATTAAAACATGTAGAAAAGTTGATATAATTCCTTAACTCCATCTTACTTTTTGCTAAGACAGTTAATAAATTTGTAGTAGCAGCAAGAAGCTCAGCTCTTCCCCCTCAATACTCTATATAAATTCTTGATTTAGAAATCCAATTATTTGGGAGTGAGCTGTCTTATAAGGCCAGTGGTTCACTGACTTGGTTGATCTAGGAACAGTAATAAGAAGGCCAAGGTATGTGTTATTTCCAAATGAGTCCATGATTTTCTCTATGCCCTGACCTCAGATGCCCCTTACGTCCATCTGTCTAGTATTCTAATGTTCCAGTCCACTAGGAGAACTGGATAGAGATAAATGGATGAGTATACAAAAATATCTCCTAGAAGAAGCCTCTGTTCTCTGAAAATGTTAGGTTTTGTTGGTTATAGTGAATCATTAATTTCTGATGTCCACTGCCATGATTTCATAAACTTTAGAGGAAAAGACATGTCTTATGAAAAAGCTTTCAATTTTTTTAGATGTTGCATGTCTTTTGCAAGTATTATGTGTGAATCTCATGTTGATTTTTTTTCTACCCCTCCAGAAAATTATGACCTACCTGTTTGATTTCCCACATGGCCCCAAGGTACTACTACATGTAACTTATATAGAACATTGCTTTAGTAATAATGAATACATTTAATCATCCTGGAATATTAAGGGTAAGGAATTGGTCAGGAACCATCCAGAAATCTTTACTAACATTAGAAGTAATGTGTGAATTAGTAGAATTGAAAGGCACTAGCAACATGAATACTGGGTAGGCAAAAATAAGAGCTATTGACCAAGAATAATTTTATAACAAGAAATTCTACGCAGAATGTTACATTTGTATGACAATGAAAGGAACTTTTGGTTGAGGAAGGTCTGATTAAAAGAAACAAAGGAGTGTATTCTTGACAACATCTATATTCTCCTGTTAATTCATGCTGAGTTTTATGCCAAAAGAAGAGTTAATCTTGCAGGGTCTTCATTCCTATGGTATGGCTTCACTTAGATTTAAGTGAATATTGTTGCAATTTGTCACATAACTGGGGGATTTGAGTCCTATGCTGCTTTGAATAAATTCAGTAAATTCCAGTTTTCAGATTACTCAAATGTACAGTAAACAGTATTCTTCAGCTTGGCCTTAAAGGCTAATTCTGTGGTTCTATTTCAGGATGGAAATAAATAGTGGGTATAACTTCTACATTAGTGCTGTGATTAGCCTGCAATATGGGTCATAAGACCAGTGTTTACCTCGAGTCATCATTCTGAGAAATAACCAGTAAAATTCCTATTATTCCACGATTATACACTTCAGTTCTGATGATGATGCACCTATTTCTTAATGTCGCTTGAGTATTTGTATCTTTCCTTACACCCACTTAGGCTCTTTTAGCCCATGTCAGAGAACACAATTTCTTTCATATATTAAATTGATGAGATAATACATAGTAGATGAAATGATTTAAAATAGATTAGTTGATTTATATTTTTACCTTGCCTGCTTTGAAAAGAATGTGGCTTCTGAGACACAGTATGATTTTAATAGACTAGTGGGGTCTTCTAATTATACTTTTAGTATTTCAACATTCCTTGCATCTGAGTAAGATTAAATATTAGTGCCTTAATAAGGTAAGGAGGATGTTTTAGCATTTCCTGATTCTTCTTTATCAGCCTGGGAGTTCTCATAGACCTTGGCAGTCCTACTTTGACCTGATCTTGGTGGATGCACGGAAACCACTCTTTTTTGGAGAAGGCACAGTACTGCGTCAAGTGGATACTGTAAGTTGAGAGGATGATCTGTCTGCTAGCACATTGTCCTTCATGTTTCTCCATTCCCATTCCTAGTCTGAGAAACAGGTATTTTTAAGTTATTAGCCATAGCACTTTTGAAATCAATCTAAGATCTTAATTGAGATAGCCAAATAGTTCAAAAGAATAAAATTCTAAAGTGCTATTCATTTGGCTATCAGCCAAGTAGCATTTTGGGTAGCGATTGTAATAGAATATTGATAAGGAATTATAAAGACCTTATCTCTTCACACAGAAAACTGGCAAGCTGAAAATTGGTACCTACACAGGTCCCTTACAGCATGGTATCGTCTACTCAGGAGGTGAGTCACAGACTTCTCTTTATTTAGCATTAAGTCTTTGCACAGACCTCACTGAAAGCTTTGGCATCCTCCCACCTCAATGTTACATCTATTCTTCAGTTTCTTTAGTATACTAAAGATATGTATTTCAGTCACCTACTGATGCAACAGGATTAGTGAGAATGGGTTTGATGCCTAATGAATCTTTATTTCTGAGAGGATCAGTTTTTCTCTGTCCTTTCATCTCCCTGAGGCTTTTTCTCAGCATACTGAATCACGTGGGATGATTCTCAAGAGGTGCTGAAGGGGCTCTTGAGAAGTACCTGTGGGCGTAGATACATAGACTGTTAGAAACAGTTGAACAAAGACCACTTTATGGAAGATCTCTGACGAGAAATGGCATTGTTAATTCACTTAAGTTGAAACATACAGTTTTTGTTCCTCTTGAATTTAGTGATCAAGCACTCTGATCAGCACAGAGGAACTGAAGGCCTTGTCTTAGAAGCAATTTACGAAATGATGAAAAGGGACATTTTTTAAGAAAGGCAGGCCCTTTTCCTAGTCTGTTTCTCATGCAATTATAATAAAATGAGTTAATAGAATTTAATGGTTGTGGTACTTGGAATGCTAGCTTTTACTATGGAGATATTTTTGTCCTTTAACATTGCTCATTCCATTGTTTCAGGTTCGTCTGACACAATCTGTGATCTGTTGGGAGCCAAGGGCAAGGACATTTTATATATTGGAGATCACATTTTTGGGGACATTTTAAAATCAAAGAAACGACAAGGGTGGCGAACTTTCTTGGTGATACCCGAACTTGCACAGGAGCTACACGTCTGGACTGACAAAAGTTGTAAGGAGCCATGACTCTCATTTTATAAATTTTGACATAGTTTAAAATGGCCTGCTATGCACCAGTGGGTTCTCCTGAAGTGGGAGAAGATGGTTTTAGTTTAAAAACTGGGTAATTATATTTGTAACATTTGCCTTTTCCTTCCAAATCTTAACCAGCGCTTTTTGAAGAACTTCAAAGCTTGGATATTTTTTTGGCCGAATTGTACAAGTAAGTTTCCTAATTCTAAAAATTTCTCCTCTTTCTATGAGATGTCCTTGCTAGAGATTTTTCACTGGACTTTTTTTTTTTTCATTTGCAGACACCTTGACAGCAGCAGTAATGAGCGCCCAGACATTAGCTCTATCCAGAGACGTATTAAGGTATACCAACAAGATATGATAGAAAACTTGGAAAATGAAGTTTAAGTGATTTTTATATTTCTGAATGAGCTGAGTTTCAAATCTTGTTTTAGAAAGTAACTCATGATATGGACATGTGCTATGGGATGATGGGAAGCCTGTTTCGCAGTGGTTCTCGGCAGACCCTCTTTGCCAGTCAAGTGATGCGTTACGCTGATCTCTATGCAGCATCTTTCATCAACCTGCTGTATTACCCATTCAGCTACCTCTTCAGAGCTGCTCATGTATTGGTGAGTTAATACAACCATGAGCTATCTTTATAATTAAGTTACATTCTAACCACTGAGATTTGCTCCCAGCTTTGTGGAATGGCACCGGAGAGTTTAGAGCCTTTCTAATGTGCAAAACCTCTAGGTTGCTTGGTTGCACAAAAAGAGGTCTTTGAGGCAATATGAGCAAAAGAGAATGTTACAGAGTATAATTTTACAATCTAAAAGTTGTGTTTGAATGACAGACTTTACTCTTGTAAGTACTGTTTGCAAGTTTTTATATGCCTATATTCTAGGACTGATTTGCTATGAACAGTAAATAAGAATCTCCTCCCATTTGGTCCAGTTTCAGACTATAGCAAAAAATTTGGGAGTAATTTTGAGGGTTGAAGAAAGGACAGGCAGCTTTTCGGTAGATCTAAGAAGGTACTTTACCATCTAAATTGGCTTGGCTTCTGGTCAATTATAGACATACTTCGCATGGCCACCAGAGGTGTCGGGATTTGGGGAAAAGCTTTTTTTCTTTACCTGCTTTCTGAACCTCTCGCTTTGTTCTAGATGCCTCATGAATCAACAGTGGAACACACACATGTAGATATCAATGAGATGGAGTCCCCTCTTGCCACTCGGAACCGCACCTCAGTGGATTTCAAAGATACCGACTATAAGCGGCACCAGTTGACACGGTCAATTAGTGAGATTAAACCTCCTAACCTCTTCCCACTGGCACCCCAGGAAATTACACACTGCCACGACGAAGATGACGATGAAGAGGAAGAGGAGGAAGAAGAATAAGAAGGAAAACCAAAACTCTGAGCACTCATTAAATAAGTTCTGGCAGGACCCTCAGGAACAAAGGATGTCCCTGTTTGGGTTTTAGTTGGGGGGGAAGGGAGCTCCATCAAAGGTACACCTGGAAAGTTTCTGAAGGCTAAATATTCTTATAGGGAGATACTTAGTTTTATGTGTCTGCACGCTTTGCAGATGGTTCAAATTGTAATGGAGTCTGTTGGAAGAAGGGGTAAAAAGTCAGGCTGAATTGCATGCAGATGGCTCCACTGTGGCTTGTGACACTGTTTCTTTGTCTTGTTTCATCATCAGTATACACTAAAGGTATCAGCGTGGAGCAGGGAGGAGGAGATTCCAAAATGTTATGTTAGAAATTGTGCTCTTCCTCCAACATCTGTTTTTTTTTTTTTTTTTTTTTTTTTCAGTGTATAACGTAGTATTGTGTATCAGTGGAGAAATAGTTTCCATGATCAAATGTAGTCTCTGTTAAAGTCAGGGTTCCTTTCATAAGCCTTTAAGTGTCCTCAGTGACTGTGGTCAGGTCACCGTCTGTCAGTGACTTTGCAGAAGTGTTCTCTACTTGCGTTAGGACTGAACTAGACTGCAGCAGTTTCATTTTTAGAAAAGTCTTCACATCCAATTCTATATATTTTTAATAGCAAAAATGCTAGTTATCCAAAAATTTTCTTATTAGCTGAGATTAATCTGTAGAGAGAATTTAGCTGAAAAAGGACAAAGCCCCCTGAAGACGAGGAACCTCCGTATTTTACAGTGAGTAAAATTCATGAGTGTGGTTTACATAGTACGGTTATTCCTACCCAACACCAGTCTGCTCTGTCCTCCAGCGTGTGTAGCCGCATTACAAAGCCAAGCACTGGAGGCTGGGAAGCGGGCTCAGTAAGCCAGAACCTTACTAGCAGAGGGCACAATCAGTGTGAATAGATTCACTTCAGAATCCCAAGTGAAATCACTTCTTGTTTTGAACAAGAATGTATCATTACTATACACTTTAGGGTATTATAACAGCCTCTTAAGTATAGTGAAAGTTGTTACATTTTTAACAGTGGTATACACTCTTAGTTTAACCTTGATATATTTCTTGTCACTGGTTAACATGGGAGGGTAGATTAGTTGCTCTAGAATTCAATAAAGTATAATATTTCTAATACTGACTTTGACCTCTTCCTATAGCATAACTGAACTGGAGTGACTTGACTGTTCAGTAGGTTTAAGTTTCACAGACTGACATTCTTTTAAAGATAATGGTTAAGTTTTTAACAAAATTTTTTATGGAACGTTTGTAAAGGACCATGGGGTAAAAAATCATTTTGTAAGTAGAGAACACAATCAAACTTAGTGCTTTACATTAAGTCATGTCAAAAAACACATTCTAATGGGTATCTGTTGGGAATATTCTGCTTTAAAAGTATGTTAGAAATGCTATTACTATTAGATGTTCTCCCTATCTTAAATTTGAGTTATATTGCCAACCCAGTGATTATTCTCACTCAAGATGGAGATGTTGCCAAGTTTGACATGGTCTTAACTTTTCTCAAGGTAAAGTTTCTAAATGACATAGCTACTCATTAATAGTACATTTCCTCTTTTCCATTTCAGAGCAAGGACCAACATCACTTTGCTTTAATTTATCACACTTTTTGTGTGTAAGTAGGTCCAAAGATTGAGAAGTTAAAAGCATAAATTCCACTGCTGGGCGTAACTCTTCAGGACCGCCAAAACATTTTAAAGAGCTAGGATTCCGTGAGAGGCCTGAGACCCACAGCAGTGTTTCTTTGTATATCAGTGTACTGGGGTGGGAGAGGTGGGCCATACGCAGGCACTCAGGGCAGCTGTAATGGGAGTTGTAAAATACGTGAGTTTCTGTTGTTAAGGAAGCTGAATGGAAATGTATATATTTTGGACGGTAAGACCAGACTTGTCAGAATCTTTCCTCAATATTGGGAAAACACTGCTTATTTAGGGGCTTTGTAAAGTACTAGATGCCACTTCTTCAGTGCTAGACTTGACTCCTAACTTAATGGCATGTTTTGGTTAACAGATATCCTGGCACATCCAGCAGACCTCAGCTCTGCTGACTTCTCACTGCCAGAGAACTCAGCCCATATGTTCATCTCTACAGCGAGGGTTGTTAATGCCTAGGTGTTAACATATTTCAAAAAAGTTGTGTAAAGCTCAGAAAGTTCAGTGTTCTGTCTAAACCTTAGGTTTTCTCCTACCATAAGCATAGCTCTGCTGAGACCTAAAAGCATGTTCTTCCATACCCTCTTCTAAGATGCTTTTAGGCAAAGTGGTTCTTAATGGAACTAGAGTAAATAATTTGAAGTTACAAATCCTTTAGTTATGTTAGTATTGTTTTAAGAAGCCACTTTAAAAAGCACTTTAAGCTACATGTCAGATTTAAAAGTACTTTGGCCGTGTTTAGATATTTCTAAATCAGATTTATTTGTTTAAGAAATCTTGTCAACAACTTTTAAAGTTCTACAATTTTTCCAGGACTGCCAGAGTATTTAAAAATACTCTGTTTATCCTCCACAAATAGCCTGAGACAAACAACTGCATATTTAAGTCTGCATTAAGGGTAGGCGACTTGTCCACATTCCATGTTATGGAAACTATTTAACCTTTCTTTGATGATGGGAAAAATAGTAACTATGATCCAACTATTGCCATACAGTTAATGGTCCAATTCCTCTCTTGATTTAGTACTTTATGTCTCAATACTTAGGTTTCTCATGACATTCTTTCTTGGTGACTAGCGCTTAAATTTTTTCTCAAATGGAACAATGTCAAATAATGCATAGCTTTGGGAGACTGAGAACGCCATCTATTATGGAAGCTACTCAAGCAGCCTTAAAATAGGAGAACAATGGTACCCTGCTTCCAAAGCAGGGAGAATGAACACACACAGCAGTTAGGAACCAGAGGCAGGCAACTTCCAGTAACCTACATCATCCTAACCTACACCGACACTAGCAATAAAACAGCATTTCACACTGTTCCCACCACTGCTGGGTCACAGAGGTATAGCAGAGCAAGTCATCTAGGAGAGTGCGTTTGCTTACAGAATGAAAGGCAAGTTTTCTATGAACCTGGCAATCTCAACCTTTTCCCCCATTCTCAAATGCAGGGTTTTCATCCTAAGGCCACAACAGTCAGACCTGTTCCAAAAAGGTGTAATTTCAAGAATAAAATATATCTCTCTGGCACTTTAACACAAGAAGTACTCCCGACTGGACACAGAACAAGCCTCATCTCAAGCTTGTTATTGCAAAGTGATCTATATTTAAAGGAACATATTTTACAATTTAAAACAAGATGACCAATTTTTAAACTAGTCTTTGTTTCTCCACAAAATAAGATACCTTTGTTTTATTTTATGTCTAGAATAAAGGTGAATTAGGTAATTAGATGAAGTACAAATGTGTCCCCAATGCATTGCTCTTCCCGTCTGCCCAGGGCTATATGCTTGATACAAAAAAATCTGAGCTGAGATAAACCTTGAGCCTGAGCAGCTGAGTGAGCAGGCATTCTTCCCATGAAAGACAGCAGTAGTCCTTCCACGCCCCACAAGCGGCTAAGACACTTGCAAAGGGGATTTGCCAAACAAACCTTCCTTCTCAACACTTAAAAATACCTATTAAATATCCAGGTTTTTTTGAAAAAGGGTTCTCACCAGAGAGCGGATGATTTGAAATAACTTCATTTTTGGACCCACTGCCCTCATGTCAATGATGCAACAGAATTGTAGCAGGGAAGCGACTCAAACTAAAAACTGCTGCTGTGGTGGCATACCATTTAAGCACTTCATCACTATATATAATATATATATATATATATATACACACACACACACACACAAACACTCTCTCTCTCTCTCTCTCTCTCTCTCTCTCTCCCCCCTACCAGGAAAAGCACTTTGACAAAATTTTGGCAGCTGATTCCCCTTTGCATCCTCAGGCCTTATAATTCTCCACCAGGGGTGTTGGCATGCTACCAGAATGTCCAGAGAACTTTGTTTTGGAACTTTTTGAAAGAGCATGGATTGAGGACCTTGGGGGGAAAACGAAACTATACAAAAGAAAGTAAAAGAGTCTATTAGCCATCTAATATAATTACTTCTTGGCTTAGTAAGGAATCATCTCTTAAATTACATTACCTTCAAAAGTATAAAACACGTTTTCAGCAGTCAGGCTATGAAAAGATCATCTGATTGGTACCATTTTCTCTACCAGACCCTCTTATCACCGTGTCCTCAGAAGTGCTAAGTTGGGGAGAGGCACTGGGGGCACAATTTGCTATAGGAAACAAACCCCAGAGCATTTCATGATAAAGCTTAGAAATGAACTAGTACATGTGCACCCCATGGAGGCAGGTGCGGAAACCGAGGCACATCTCTGTTTCATAGTAGGAAAAATTACCTCTACGTTCTTTGGGGAATTTCCTGATTTGACCTCAGGAATTAACCTAGACAGAGCAGAAGAACCAATAAAGCAAAAGAAACAATAAAGCAGCAGTGGGGAGAGGACAGGCACGAGTTCTGATTCATGCCGTCCCAGCCCTGCCGGCGCTAACTGCACGTCACGGTCATCAGGAAGGTGAGCACGCAGGCTCCCGAGAAGGTGGCGCAAGTACCTCGTTCTGCTCGCAGGAAACTGGGGATAGCACTTAGGTCAGGTGTTGTCAAAGCCAGTCTCGTCGTAAGTTCTTCACTGAAATGTCTCCGGACAAGTGTAAGTAAAATAAACTGCAAACATCCTTGTTAATACGGTGGGGGCGAAGGACCCAGTCATCAAGAGGTTCACCTCTCAGAGCGCACTTCTCTCTGGGAGTCGAGGGAAGAGAGTCCAAGAAGACAGGGTCTAGGAGCGGGTCACAGAGGGGCCTGAACCTTGACCAGAAGATCTTTAGGGTCTGGTCACACAGAGGAGGGTGAAACAGAACGGAAGAAATGACGGGAGGTGGGGGAGTCCAGTGCAGGTCGCACACACTAGATTACAGGCGATGTGGGATGTCTACTGAATCCTGATGAGCATCTGAACATGCCCTTACCTACTCCTGCCATCTGTTTAACTTGGGAGTGAGCCATCTGTGCCTTTGCCAGCCTTTCTCCTAGGTTTTGTATAGCAGAGGAGGACCTATAGAGCCAATTGAGAGACTAGAATGAAGCATTTGGTCTTGCCTGGAAAAAACCAGCTTAGACATTTGCCTAGTCGAACTGCGTGTGATTAGTGTGACTGGGCGTCCTTGTGCAGGAGAACGCGCACCATCCCCGTAGGCTGTACTAGCTTCTAAGCTGGAGACGCTGCTGTAGCAGTCTTAACACACACACAGGTCTTTGTGATGATGCACCTATCCAAAGAAAATGCCTTGCTGTGTTTCCATGCCAACCACCAAGCCCAGCTTTCCACCAGGGAAGCCATGCAGTCGGGCAGGGAACCGAGGTTGGTGCTGCATAGATGAAAAGGGGAAAGAGGGAACACACATCCGCTAGCAGGGTGAACAGAAAATCATTTATCTAAATAGAATAATAGAAACAAAAACCTTTTTAAACAATCACAAAATTTACAAATAAATTGGTACAAAATAAATAGGAGAGATTGTAAATCTACAACATCATTTGAATTATAAAATGCATTCATTATGACAATCAGCTCATGAAACCTATACATGTCACTTGTGCTTATTTAGGTTTATGCACACAGCTCTGAACGCTGTGCTCGGAAAAAGTCGCTGCTAAAAGGCATGAAATGTACACTATGATACAGTGAGTAAAGGCTAAGAGGATGGGAATCAGACACAAAACAGTCTTACTTGAGGACCAAGACAATGTTGGCACTGGGCCTCAACACCAAGGAAAGGCATATTAGAAGCCCAGGTGGGCAGGCAGCTTCCAGGGTCCAAAGACGGATTCTAAAATCCAAGGTGGGAAGTGGAGGCGAGCGCCGTGGTGGGACCAGGCACCCGACCTGACTCAGGAGGGTGGGAGTGAAGAGGGAAGGCTCTGGTCCCACAGTTACGCTGCACCCCTCTGTGGAAAGTAGACCCGGTCACCAGGAAACCACCTCTAACGTGTGTCACAAAGGTACCTGAGAGGCTGTGCCACAAGGGAGGGGATCTTGCTTTCTTCCTCATCCCAAACTCTCGTCATCAGGAATAGAGGCGGACCCAAGAAAAGGAGCCAGGGGTGCGTGAGTCTACATTAAGTGCAGCAACCTGTTTAAAATGAAAACAAAACTGCAGCCCCCTCGCCTAAAGGGTCAGTAGAACCCTGGACTCCATGGGTGAAGGGCTCCAGAACAGATCTCATCACGGTCAGTGTACTAACAGTAGAGGCATATGTACATAATAAATAATATAAAATAAAGCACATACATCTGTGGGTTTAAATGACTCAAGAAACAAGTCCATTGGGACTGATGTGTTCCACCTTCGGAGTAGACTTCAAATGCTGGACCTAACAAGTCAAGCGAGGCTAGGGCTCTCTGGAGAGTCCTGGGGCCTTACTCTTTCCCACTTCCTCCTATTCTGGAAGCCTGAGACCAACTGTTTATACCCAAAGGGTTTGGGCCCCAACAGAAACTGCACACACTCAAGCCTGACCAGGTCCCTGTAGAGGACAGTCCTCTCCAGGGTGAATCTGAAGAGGAATGTGGCCCCCAAGAAAACACTTTCTGGTGAATCCATATTGGTCAGATGGGAGCAGTGCCAGAAGATACCTTTCCAAGGAAGGGAAGACATCCCACCATTTAATGTTTGTGGTCACTACAGGTGTCAAAAC